CCCTAGGACGTGTCCAAGTTTTAAGAACAACCATCCCGTCCTCGCAAGCTTGGGGGGAATAAAATATAAACATCGGTCGGATGCGCTGCGTATCAGTAAGCGCATCAGTGCAGGAGGCCCGGGCCACCTTCGTGTCGGAGGGTGGAGGACTTCCGAGGAGAAGGCGAGCAAGTGTCAGGCTGGGTGACGTGAGCCCCGGACGGGAGGTAAAATAAGGGTGGTCCTTGGAAAGCAGGGGCCGAGGCCAGCAGCGAGCGGGAGGGAGAGGCCGGGCCAGGCGACTGGGGGTCTTCGCTATTACCCCAAGGGGCTGGAGCTTTACGCAGAAACAGAAAGTGGAAGAAGTGGAAGAGGGTTTTTTTGTTTTGTTTTGTTTTGTTTTGTTTGTTTGTTTTTTGTAGTCAACCAAGAGAAAGGAGATGGGGCCTGGACCAAGGTGGAGCAGTCGCGACGGGAAGAGAGGGCTGCTCGTAAGTACCTTTGAGAAGAGAATGAACAGGGTGCGAGAGGCACAGGGAACAATCAGGGATGGCGTTGAGGTCACCGTTCACCAAAACAGGAAGCCAGAAGCTCCTGGGAGGGGACGCCAGGGCGTGGGCAGACCCCGAGGCCTAAGGTCAGGTTTTGGTCACTTCCTGTTGGAGACGCCTTTAGCCTCTCTCCCTGAAGATGCTCATCAGCCGGGGGGTAGGTGGCTGTGAGGTTTGAGAGAGATGCCAACCGGAAATGCATTCTGAAAGTCCCCTGGATTTTAATGGCTGGGGTCAGGAGAGCAGGAAAGAATGGTTATTTTTGAGGTTCTACACTCTTTCCGGCGCTTCACGTCTCATTTAAACTCCTCAACTACATCATGCATTTTATGTCTGAAGGAGCTGAGTCTCCAGAAACTTTCAGAAAGAATCAGGACTCTTTGCCACGTCTTGCAAATCAATCCTGAAACTGTTTTATTGGACTAGGCTTGGCTTTGGCTTGAACCCCAATGAAATGAGGAATCATGGAGAATAAAACGTCACATGCTGTTTGCCAACTTTCGTCTGATAGTTGCCATATTCCAAGATTAATTTTCTTTGGGTGAAACCGACTGTGTAAACTCAAATGCACGAGTATGGATGAACTTTTAAGGAGGACACAGACTGACCAGCAGGAGTGCGCGTAGACATTCTCTTTTTTAACATTTTCCTGCCAATAGATTTTTCTTTCAGACTTGCCTTTCCTCCGCAAGCCTAGGGAACGCAGCAGGAGGACTGGCGAGGCAGGAACATTAAACACGGAGCCTCCGCTTCGGTGCGGTCTTGTGTGGCCTGCGACCCGGGACAGGTGCACGCAGCCTTCCTGGGCTCTGCAACACCCTCTGGAAAATGAGAGGCCAGGACTGTGACGAGCACCTCACAGACTCGACTGTGCACAGGAGCCTCCGGAGGCGTCGAGGACACGCTGCTCCTGAGTCACCGGGTCCACGCGCTAAGGCGCCGTTCGGCCGCACGCTTGCGTGGTTGCCAGGTGACGGCAAGCATCTGTCAGCGATGGACAACAAATATTTGTTTTTAAAACAAAAACGCCTTAGGGTTCTATGTCTAAAAGTCATTCATGCTTTTCAATTTTTTTTTTTTTAAAGTCACCAATAATATGAAAGGCAGGGGCTGAGAACCACCCAGATTAAATTACCGCTCAGAATGGTGAGCTCCCTTTTGACCTGGGCGTGAGGAGAGAACGCTAAGCATCAATGTTCTTCTCTCTTACCTTGTCTCTCTCTTTTTTTAAAGATTTTATTTATTTATTTTCAGAGACAAGGGAAAGGCGAGAGGAAGAGAAGGAAAGACACATTGGTGTGTGAGAGAAACATGGGTAGGTGGCCTCGCACACTGGACACCTGGCCCGCAACCCAGGCCCCCGCCCTGGCCGGGAATCAAGCCCTCAGCCTTTGGTCCTCGGGTCGGCGCTCAGTCCCCTGAGCCAGGCCAGCCAGGGGGTACATCGCCCCGTCTCTTCAGATCAGATAGTGAAGCTGGTAAGTTTTTAATTTGCTGTGTGTAGGCACTCGTCAGTTGGGCGTTAATGGATTTAAAACAAAGCTCAGGTGCACTGAACGCCGACCGGAAAGGGTTGTGCCTTCCCATTCGTTTTTTGGGCATGACCGAGGTCACGGTCATGATCAACCGAGGAGGGAACCTTGCCTCGTGCCTCTGCCTGTCTCCCCTCTCGGAGGACGTCACAGCTACTGGAGTGAACGTAAAGCGCCTGCAGCATTAACCCAGTATCCACAGCGCTTGCTGGTCGTTTAAAACATTCAGCTGGCACATGTTAAAGGCTTCCTCAGAGTTGGCTGAAATATACAATTGAATGCAAGGCTCCCAGAGAGCCCAGATATCACATTGGCTTTATTACTTACACTTTTCTCTCTGTCTCCTTGAAGCAGCCACAGGCCCTCTGTGCCCCAGCTTACGGCCGCCAGCTGGCGAGGAGACGGCCGTTGCATAGCGCCCTCTTTGTACGTTACAGTTTTTTTTTTAACGTTTGGCCCGTGGATAGGCAAAGGAACGGCATCTCTACCTTTCTGCTTGTGTTTTTATGAGGCGGCATCTTTCTTGTTGCTGTGTGATTGGCTTTTGTGTCCCCCTTTTTAGGTTACCAGCGTCCGCCTCCTACCTCCTTTTAAACCCCTCCAGTGGGCTGCAGGCATTCCCTGCGGTCCCCACCAGGAAGATGCAGTGCGTTCTTACCCCTTTCACAGTCTGCCGCGAGATAAGGAACGAGATAAGGAGGATGTGGCCAGACGTCCCACTTCCCCTCCCGCTCCTCCGGCCCCCTCCGGCCGTTGCACCGGCTGCGGCGCTTCCCGCCTGTGTACCTTACCTTGCCTTAGGTGTTTACCTGTCTCTTTCCTCCCAGCACCTTGGGGCAATGTTCATGTTGGACTCATGTTTTCTGCCTTCAGCGACTAGCACACATTCTCAAATACCTGTTGGACTGAATTGTTAGATTGCAACGCTGAAATTTTCACAATTTCCTTGTTCAAAGAGAAATAGCCAACTAGGGGTCTCTAAGATTAAGTTAGATACTAAATGGCGCTCTAAACAAAGTCCATACAATTTAATCGATGAATGTTGTGCTTCCACTTTAAAGTTTTGGAAGGAGCCACTTCTTCCCTCGTACTTCCCAGCTACATTCTGGGATAACTGAGACTGAGCAACGTCCCTAAACTGGCAAAGTGCTACTGTAGCCATAACAAGCAGACGAATAAGTATAATCGCAATGGAATGAAGACGCTAAAGTACTGACATCTGAATAAGGCTTGCAGTTGTCCACCATTTTAATTGCATATTGTTTCTACTGAAATCGTTGACTATAGCTGTAATAAATATAGCACACATATCTGCAATCTGTAGATTTTGAAATAAATTCCTATTGAAAACTCAAAGACGGACAACAATCAGCCTAACTCGATGGAGTGGTACTTTGAAAAGCCTTTGGAAGTTTCCCCAATACTAGAAACAGATGGATTTTAAAACGTAATTTGAAAACTTTTGTGTGAGGACTCCAACCGCACTAGGTGCGGGGAAGCTCTGGGAGCACCTTCGTGAGCATTTCGAGGTGGCCAAACCTCATCCCCACGGAGGTGAGAAGGGCCGTGCACAGCGGCGGGTTCTCTGTGTGGGTCACCGCGCGCGCTGCGGGGGCCCTTCGCGCTCGCTCCCGGCCCTGTTTCAGGAGGCGTAAGCGCCTCCCCTTCCGCGCGGACCAAAACCTTCTCGTCCGGTTCTCTCCGTCCTCAGGCCACACGGGCGTGCTTGTTTGCTTGTGTTTTGTTTTTAACACTTCGTAGCTGTTAATAATTCTGCAATATGTTCTAGTTACTTTCGAACATTTTATTTCCTCCTGCAAATTGTAAACACCTAAAGAACGAAGGTGAGCGCAGGAGACACGTGTAAACACTCAAACATTAATTGTGACACTCGCTCTAACGGTGGCCATCTGAGGGGCACACATCTGGACTATGGACAGTCGGAAAGACGTGCGGTGCGGCATGAAGAACATAATCAATACTTCTGCGATAACTGTGTATGGCGCCGGATGGGTACCAAGCCTGTTTGGGGTGGTCCCTTTGCAAGTTATGTAAGTGTCTAACCTCTATATTATACACCTGAAACTGATACAATATATTTTATGTCAACTGTAATTGAAAACTAAAAAAATAAATAAATAAAAATACATCTTGACTCTTGGGAGAGTGAATGATCTTTATTTTTTAAGGACTGTTAGAGACCTGGCATTCCTGGAGTTTGAAAGTTGTGAAGACGCAACTGTTCTGGATGAAGCTCTGCCCGGACCCCCTGGCACGGCTGCGCGTGAGCGGCACGTGCCTGTGCCCGCGCGGGTGCGCGCGGGTGCGCACGGGCACCCGCCCCGGCGGCTGCTTCGCAGGGGGAAAGTGCATCCACCTCCACGCCGCTCTTCCCGTTCTCACCATCGCAGACCTCCTGAGTTTTCAGGAGTGTTTTGCTCGGGGCGCCTGCCGCTCTGCGCCGTGGCATGCACCCTCCTTCCAGCGCAGCGCACCAGAGGTGAGGCGGGCATTGAAAGTTGCGGGTATTTCACGCGACGAATCGATCGCGTCCCCGCGGCACGCACAGGAGGCGGCTGGGAGCGCTGGCAGACTGGCGGCTGCCAGCGCTGAGCTCGGGGGAGCCCTTCGGCCCGGGATGCAACAGGGTTTGCGGCCACGAGCGGCTTTGTCTCGCGTTCCGCGGGCTCTCCGGCCGATCTCGCCGAGGCGCAGCCGGCGGAGCCCGGCGCACGGCTCGGCGGGGCTGGGGGTGACTCACGTTCGCCAGCGCGCCTCTTCCCTCCCCAAACGGCGCGGTCGCCGCTTTAAAAGGAAGTGACATGGGGTGGGGAGAGACGTCAGCTGAGGACCACTTTTTTTTCCCCCGAAGGGCCCACCCCGTGGGTGGAGTCTCGCCTTTCTTTCCCGTGTTGGCGGACTTGCCGCTCCCACAAACTAGTGGCAGTCCCCGCCGCCCAGCCGGCTCCCTTTCAGTTTCTGGTCTCTCCCAAGCCCATGTGGCCGGGCTGCCGGGAAGGAGGTACGTGCGGCTGGCGGGCTCTCGGCGGGCGACTTCCCCTGGGGCGTGGCGGCTCGCTGTCCCCGTCCCTCGCCCGGTCCCTGGCCCCGGGGCTGGATTTCCTGAAACCCTCTGGACGGGGTAGGTACTGACCCAGCGGGAGCGCAGGCGGCGAGAAGGACGCGGGCAGGCGACCGCGGGAGCCGGCGGGCGCCCCGGAAGGCGGGGGGCTCGCAGCCGCCGAGGACCCTTCCTTTGTGCTCCTCTGGGTGAGCCCGCCTCCCGCCGGCCACCGCGACCCGCTCGCTCCTCGGCGCGCCGCGCGCCCCCGCCCCGCCGACCCCTCGGCCTGCGGCGTTTCTTCTGCAATAGGTGAAGCCGGGAGAAGGTGCCCGTTACCTCTCGGCCTCTTTTGTGTCATGCAACATGTTCTTCCCTCTTTGGCGTTTCTATGGCAACCACAAAAATACTACACAAAATGCAGCCCCGGCCTGCAGGGATGGATGTGTGTTTCGCTGGTGGTTCGGGCCGTGGCTGGCCGGCGTCCAGCGTGGCTCGGGGCTACCCCTCCTCACTTTCGTTTTGGTTTTTCCCTATCACAGCCGGGCTGGGGGAGGGGAGTTGTCAAGGAAACAGGCATTGGCCATTGCCTCTGTATTTACTTAATTCTCGGCCTATGGATTTCTGCATCATATCCAGGAATTAAAAAGGAATGGTGTGATGTTTGTGTAAGTCTTCAGATTCTGGTCTTTTTTTTTTTTTTTTTTTTTAAGGAAGCCTGAGCAGGTCTCCAGACGTGGCGGTTTCGCTGTGGTCCGACTAAGCGGGGTGGAGGGGAGGGCTCACCTCCGGGGAAAGTTTGGGGCGGTGTTAGTGTCGGCCCAGCTTTGCGCCGAAGTCCAAGGGTTGAAGAGAGGGGCCTCCGCTCTGGCCTGAACTTCTTTAGCACCACACCTGAAGTTCAGCGAGTACGAGGGGAAACAGACGGCCTCCGCCCGCAGGGTGCTCGGTTCTGTGCCCGGCGCGGATCGCCCCCCTGCCCCAAGCCCGCTCTGCTTGCCTGGGGCCCCCGGACCTGCTCGCTTTCCCGGCGGGGAAAGGGTTAACCCGCCCTGATTGCCAGGGCGGCACCCTCAGCTGGGGAAAGTATCTGAGGGACCGCGTGAGTGTGTGTAGGTGTCTGTGTACATGTGTAGCTGTGCGTTTCAGCAGGTAGGGACCACGGGGGCAAGTCAGGGATCCCACGTTAAAACTACGAATCTTGTTAATACCCGCAACGGGAGGAACAGAACTGATTTGCAGGAAAGATAGAAAACGTGACAGGAAAGCATCACCTATCTAGTAATGAGTGAAGTTAAATATGATTAGACTCGAATTACACGTGTGTCAGAAAGACGTAGTCCAGAGGGGCCTATTAACAGGCGGGAGGAGTCAAACTGACATTTTTATCCACACACCCGAAGAAGTGCGCATTAAAAGGACGGTATTCATTACTGAACATTTCCAAATGATCAAATTAGCCTTTATAAGATCTATCAGCACTAATCTCACCCTTGATTCTTAAAATTATCTATAATTTTGGACAACGATTTATGAAGGTCGCTTAGCGCCCCCAGTGCCTTCCGGCTATTGAAGCCAAAGGCATTACTCAGCGACCTCAAAGCAACCCCTCCGGTGGAAGCAGGAAGACTGGCGGTCTGCGCGGGGTTCTCCTGCCAAGATCCGTATCTCACCCTGTTATAATAGACGACCTTTGAAGCTCATTAGAGTGCAAGAGGTCTTAAGTGTATCAGACACGAAGTTATCTGAGAATGGGGCCCGACCCGCCCAGCCCAGAACCGCCCAGCACTAAGTGGGGCTGGAGAAACAGACCTAGTTAAGGGCGGGAAGCACAGGGAAGCCGCCGGGAGGACTGTGGCTCCTTTGGAAAAGCGTGGGTTCGTACGTGAACAGCTGGGTGCTAGGTTGGTGACGTTTGCAAAGAGTCCCTACGAGGCGGTGATGCCAGCCCCTGGTCCGCAGGGGACCCGGTTTCCTGCAGGGCCCTTCCGAGCGGGTGCACAGCATGCATGGCAAAGTCTGTGCTGGGGGCACGGGGGTCTCCAGGCCTGGGAACCGCACCGCCGAGAGCCGTACGGGAGGGAGCTCCCAGCAAAAGTAGCAAGAAGCATTTGGAAGCACAGCCAAAAATTAAAAAAAATAATAATAACTGTTTTATAATCAGACCCTGAGGAGAGGTTGGAAACATAGTTAGCAGCCTTCCCCCCAGGGAGGTCAGCGGAACTGCAGGTGCAAAGCCCAGCCCAGGGTCCCGGGGAGGCTGAACAGAGGTGACGCCAAGGGCAGTCGCTGCTGCCCTGGGATCCCACTGGCTGCAAGGCTCTGAAGCCGGTGCTGGCGAGTTGGTGAAGACGTTTTCCAATAGAAGCTGTTGTCTGTGCTCCCGAGTTTAAATCCACCGGCCAGGGCTGGCAGCCTGTGTAGGTGAGCACAGAGCCGGCGAGGAGGAGGCGAGGCCAGAGGGAGATGGGAAAACAGGATGCAAGGAGCCCCAGAAGAACATTACGAGGATGGTGATGTTGAAGGTTTGAAGGAGAGGAGACAGACAGTTCAAGGGGAAGAGGGCACAGGGGCCCCAGGCGGCAGGGGTGGGCGCCGGGAGACGGGTCCGGGCCTGAGGCTGTTGCCCCAAGCGGGGGAATCCGTCTGCGCTGTGGAAATAGGGAGGGGGTGCTGGGGGCTGGCGGGAAGGACTGGGAGGCAGCCTCGGGGACCGAACCGTGTTTTAATCAGGACAAGAAAGATCGGTAGGAGAAAGGCAATGTGAGTAGGAGGCAGAATCCGTCCCACTCCAGCATTTTTGAGTGGAAGCTCCAGAAGTAAAGGCTGCACTTAAATCAGACTTTAAACAAGTAAGAAATTTGGGAGCGGCAACCCCATATGCACCCACAGTGTCATTCTAATCGTACCCACCGCCTCTGTCGCATTAAACAGTGGGGCGCTCGGCCAGCGTTGGGCAAACTTACCGCATTTCGCGTGATCCGCTCTGTTCTGAAAAGAAGGTCTAATGGGTATGGCGAGATGCTGTGTCCACAGTTCCATTCTGAGTGCTTCTCGACACCCGAATGCTTGGAGAAACGCATGCGATCAAGCCCGGCGCGGTCACCATCACCATCACCCAGGGCCTGGGCTGCGCGGACTCGTAGCCTCTGCCCGAGCTGGGAAAGCAAGGCGTGGAACCCCGAAACTGGGCTCCAAGGGTGGGCCCGGGCGGGTCGCCGCTGAAGCCGCGGGCAGAGGGAGCCGCAATCAGCGATTGTTTCACAGTGTTCACGGGGCTTGTACGATTTGCCAAGTGCTTTGGACGCACGGTGAGCAAAAGCAGAAACGGTATAAGGAAACGGCTACTGTTTTCAGCTCTCTGAGGACTTTAAGGGAGACACTGCGCTCTCCGTTTTTAATGACCGAGTACGAGGGGACGCCGTACAATCAGAACCTTTTTTGGTGCGCGTGATCCATTCTCATGGAACTGTCCGTCTTACCTGCCTGCCTCTGTTTTCGCTCTTGCTCCCCAAAGATTGCCCGCCTGCTTTCACTTCTGTCTCTGTCTTGTTCCTCCAGTCTGGTTCGCTCTTCTTCCTTCGACCTCAGCCCCACGTCGCAGTCACCGTCGGTTCCTTCATACAGTCATCATCCGTCACCCGTCCCTTTATTCCGTCCCTCGGCAAAAGATCCTGAGCATCGCATGTCAGGCGCTATGTGTCATGGATGTAGACATGAATAGGAAAGAAACTGTTTCCTCCCTAAAGAACCCCAGGAACGAGCAGGGAGACGGGAGCAGAAACAGCCCCTCGAACCCGGGGACATTATTTCTGACAGAGGCATTTTTTTGTCCAACGGCACTGATGCTTCCTTTATTATTGGACAGTTTGACACATAGATTGTGCTGGGCGGAGAGGGAGGGAGTGGTCCGCAGCTGACGACCACCCGTCTTCTCATGGCCTTGTATCGTCCAAATTGCTTGAGCTCGTGGCCAGTGTCCGTGGACATCTGCTGATGAGCTAAGGGGAGAAGTGGGATTTCTGGCCCTGGAGACAGAGAGGAATGGAGTCCAGAAGGCGTGTGCGTTCCGCTCCTGTGAAGTACAAGCAGAGGAGAGAATCCCTCCCAGCGAGTTCCTGGTCGACTTCCGTGGGACTGTGGTTCCCTCCAGATGAACGCAACGTGCCACGTACGTAAAGGGAACCCCCACCTGCCTCAAAACGGCTTGCCCTTGGCTTCCCAGTCCTCCTCTTGTCCTTCAGAGCTAGATGTCCCACGACACGTTCAAGTCCGTGTCTCATTCCAGCAAAACCGAGCACCTCTCAACACTTGAAATCGAATGGCCCAAAATAAAGGGCTTCAAAATTAAACCCTTCCTGAAGCTTCTCTTGGTAGCGTTTTTGCCCCATGTCTACCTTCAGGGTGGAAATGATGCGGCAACGTAACCAAGTTCCTCTGGAACACCGCCCTCTTCGGCTGGCAGCCGAGGAACAGTCTGGCAAGTCCCCCCCTTCTTCTTTGTTATTTTGATCTCCATGGAGCTCAGCCCCTCCCTTGGGCCCGAAGCTGTTCCTGCTCCCTCCGCCTGACACAGACCTCTCCCTCTGAACCTCACTCCTGCCTCATGACTCTGTGAGGGCCACTTCTGTGTCGGATCCTGTAAAAGAAGAGTCGCTTTTTGAACTTCATGGTAGTTTGAAGCTGGACACTAATATTCCTGCAGGGGGCTATTCTGCCATCTAGGCAACGGCACGTCGCCTGCAAAAGCCATCGGAGACTCAGGTGACCGGCCAACCCGCAGGCCGCGTAAGAATGAGAACAGTGCACCTTTACAGGGGTTTCCTATGGGCCAGTCTGTTACATAGACTTTTCATTCATTAACTCACTTCACCCTCATGGCACACCGAGCAGGTAAAAACAACAATCCCTTTCCATTCTATGGATCAAGAAAGGAAAGATTAGAGAAAGACACTCATGTA